ACTCCGGACTAGGTGCGTTTCTTTAAGTCTTCCTACCAATATGACCGAGTTGCGAAAACAAGGTCAAAAAGTCGTTACTGTCTGAGTTAGCAAGCTGGCCTTGTCCGAATCGGTAATAATTCGGCACGGAGCTACTTGGTCTCCTCGTGAGTATCTAGGTAGAGACGTCGTCCAATAATAAGCAAACCTGCCTTGGATTGCCTGAAACCTGTCGTCCTGACGCCTGTAGCAGGTATCAGTCTGCCAGTCTTGGTTGAGTATCGGTCCGTACATTTAGCACCTGAGCTCTCAGCGCGCCCATCAGCTCTGCCTCTGGTTGTGGTCAAGACGGGGTCGCCAGCGCTCGCCGAACTTAACAGGCCTCGGGAGCTCGACTTGGGAACCGAGCAAAGCCTGTCCTCCGAGCTGTAGCGCTTGTTTATCCAAGTGGCTGGATGCTCCAGACGAGGCAGGTCAGGACGCAGATGGCTCAGCGAATTATACTCGAGGCATCCCAAGGGCCGCAGCTGATTAGTTGTCAAATTATCTTCAAAGGAGAAGGGACGAATCAAGAGAAAGAAAATAGGACAAACAAAAGATGAAACTGGTTGGTACAAGACAATGGAGAAGCTCAGAGATTGGAACAAGATATGTACATAGAAAAGATGATAAAAGAGAAAAATCATGAATGATTTGCAGGAAATTAGCTAAGCTTTGAGTAACTAAGGCGTGGAATAGGAAAAGAAGTGAAGTCGGTACTCGGCTGCAGCAGTCATAATGCCACAGTACACGATCTTTGGGCCGATAAGCAAGGCAAAAAGATAAGGCAAATTCAGGATCTAAGTTTCGAGAGCAAGGTCAACTCATTTCTAGCTCCACATATTTTATAATTCTTTCCATTACGTCTAAAGTGATATAGTCAAATGCCTGCTCGTCAACGGACTCGTAATAAATGTGAGCTGTGAACGGGCTTAAGTACTATGTGACCCACATCTGTCCTGGCAACCAACAGTATTTGTCTTGCCACCCTTAAACCCAGACGATGAGTAAAATAGTCTTAGAATCCTGATTCTTTTTACCGATTTCTGTCTGGGCAACCCCACTATTAATCTTTACACTACGAGTTATATGTTTGAGGACTGTCATGAAAACCAAATTATCTTTAATACAACTATATGTCAAACAATAATACATTTGAAAGGAAAGAAGTTGTGACCTATGATATGACAGATACTTCCTGTGAGGGAGACTTTCATTTTTTATGAAAGTACATGAAGAAGAGATTCGTAGGTCGATCTCATCAGAAGAGGACGGATGAATCACGTTGTACTGCAGCCATTTGGCTTTTATACGACGTTCATGTTGACGCAGTCCACGAGACCTCCCTCGTTTCGGGTGAAAACGGGCTGAGCTTTCGTCCATTATATGATGGACAACATCAGAGATGGAACTTATTTTAGTGAATATCTCGTATTAACACTATCCTTTATGACCTAGCATTATACCTTTATATAACACACACACACACACACACACACGCAGGCACTCACGTATGCAAACACATACACCCTCGAGTA